ACAGGGCCAGGCTCTTTTCAGTGGTGTCCAGTAACAGGACAACAGGCCCAAACTGGGGCACAGGAAGTTCCATCTGAACATGAGGAAAAACTTCATTACTTTGAGGGTGGCAGAGCCCTGGGACAGGCTGCCCATGGAGGCTGTGGAGGCTCCTTCTCTGGAGATATTCAAAAACCGCCGGGACGTGATCCTTGCTACCCTGCGCGACCCTGCTGTAGCAGGGGGGTGGGACTGGCTGATCTCCAGAGGTCCCTTCCAGCCCCTGCCATTCTGTGATTCTGCTAGAACTATTTCTTGTTCCAGCAAATATTAAGTTCAGCTTCTGTTGGAAAGGAATTACATTCTCTGTACATTTCAAAATATATCTAGAATTTTACCAGAAAAGTGGGTTTTAAGCAATAAAAAAAAAATAGCCTGGAAAAAGAGATAGGAAGAAACTCTGCTGTTAGGATAGACAAGTATCAGCAAGGGAAAAAGAAGAGATGACATTACAGGAATTAACCTTTTTGATGCAGTGAATACAGCAAAACAGCAATTGTTTGCTACTGAATAGTGCTTATAATTTCATTTGCACTGCATATAGTTTAAGAAAGTTTGGAGGAAAGTGACAACAACAAAAATTGCAGAATATGATTCACTAAATATTTTCTTCAGATTTAACTACCAAGAAAATCCTGTAGTTCGCAATTTTTTTCACTGGATATTGTATCTATGAGCAGATTTTTTCCTTTCAATTCAAATGTATTGAACAGGAAAAAAAGAAAACAGAATCATAACACACAAGAACACATTAATAAAGGAAAGATATATAAAATCACAGAATCATGCAAAAGATATTTGGTGTTCGGCTTCTATGCTGCTTAACTATTTGAAGATAAGAAAGATACCTTGATTAAATTAATGTTGAAATATGAGTAATGATGGCATTATACATTGAAATTACGTTTTTTTTCTTCTAAGGGAAGTTTCCACTAGCAAAATGCACTGATAAATCTAGGCCATCAAGACAAACATTCCCTCTGCTACAATGAAATCTAACATTAATGGTTAAGAACATGAACTACAAATAAACACTTTCAATAAACACGTATTTTTTTTCCAGTCCAGAGACAGTTAGCTTTTCAACAGCATAAGGTAACACTGTGTATGAATAGTAATTACTGATTTCCCATTTCTTTATATTACTAAGAACTGGCACCAAAACTTCAAACCCAAAGAGCCTTTAAATACATCAGTATCTTACAGAAAAAAAAAAAGAAAAAAAAAACCCCACCAAACAACAAAACCTAAACTACAACACTGCTTTAAAAGTAAAAAAGACTGTATCTAAGACTTTTGTTTTGGAGGGTTTTTTTTGTGTGTGTGTTTTCGTTTCTACAGAAAATCAAAATATATAGGGATGCAAGTACACAGGAAATCAAAATATATTCTTAGGCACTAGATATGCCATTCTTTTTTCCCCCTCATTCTTATATTTAGGTTCCTGGGGATTTTTAATACCCCAATAAATAAATAAGTAAAATGTCTTTTAAAATACTGTTAACAATCTGTTTGTGTCTTTTTATTTTTCAGAGTTACATACATTTGCTACTCTTCTTACAGCCTCCTGCAGCTACTTTCAGTCTAATCCCCCCCTTTATCTAGACAACAATATGGATACATGAAATTTTTTTGTTTGTTTGCCTGTCAAATTGAAAGAGCTTTCTGTATAACCATTACTGGATGACAGTTTTAGGCAATTTTTTTACCAAAGAAAAATGATGTGGAGACAAATGGCAATATTCACACAACAAATGGAATACAGATAATCTTAGATCCTTGAACTTTGGTCTCCTATTAGCAACATTGGTCATTTAATCACCAGCCCCGTAAGAGTATTCTGGAGTGCACTCCAGTCTCCCCTGTTAGAGCCATTCCATCTCATGTATATAAGCATTAACCAGGCCAGGTGGGCTGGTAGATAAGCGTTCTTCCAAAAAAGACAACAGCTGGCATCTAGCTGCTGCTCTAATCACTGTTTAACTCCTTCTACAAAAAGGAACAACTTCAACAGGAAAGAACGAAGGAAAAACTACTTCAGAACACCCTGCATGGTGGCAGATAGAGCACTCACCTGGAATGGGGGAGACCAAATTCAAAGAATTTGAAATCCCTCAAAAGTCCTTTACTTTAGCCTGGATTTACTTTGTATTTGTAAAAATGAAGTTTGCCATCCTTTTATATAAATCACACTTATGTATTCAACTGGGTTTTTTTACTAAAGTATAACTTGCATAGTTGACTGAAGGGAGTTTCAGTTGTGGAGTGCACTGTTTAAGCTGTAAAAAAAAGTTTGAAGAGATAAGGCATACTGGGATACACAAGAACTACAGCAAAAATTATTAGGATATAGATTTTTGCTGTAAAATGCTTTACAGTAGGCTTAGAACAACTACAGAAAATACCTTAAGCAAGGTCTGTTTATGGCTTTCACGCTTCCTTTCTTCTTCTTTCCTTGCTGCAATAGATGCCATACGTCTTTCTTCTTCCTGGATAAAACAAAAAAAAAAAGAAAAACCACCTCATAAAAGGAAGAATTAATCAGATTCTGAAAAGTATTACTGATAAACTATTAACACATTTTTGTGTTGATATTTGAAATGCAAGTTTTAATGAAATTTTAAGATTTTACTGTTTCTAAATACTATTTTAAACCATAAAATTGATAATTATAAATCAAGAAATATGGAAGAAATAGATTTTTACTCAGATGCAAATACTGAAAATAAAGCTATTTAAAACTAGTGGTACAGGTCTTCGAAAAAGTATAAAGCATATGGTGAGTATGACAGTGAAAAAGAACATTTTAAAAACATAACAGTGCATTACATCTTTATATCTTTGCAGTAGTTTTTGTAATTAGGATTCTTTTGTAAGAAAAGAAATAGCGCATTAGCTGAATTCTATTTATGCTTGAATCACAGTGTAAGATTGATTATTATTATAAACTGTTTCCAAAGGCTTACTTTTCTCAATCAGCAACAGAAGTTGAGAAGAAAAGCACAGTTTCAAAGATAACTACAGAACATTAACATCATTTCTCATCATTATTATTACCTATTCAGGAAGAAGTTTCAAGAAGAAAGCCATTGATTCCTAAATAATGAAAGTCATGTAAGTGAAGATGCTTAATTTTCCTGGTACAGCAATTTAATACTGCGATACACCCATATTAGGTTGAATGCTCCCTGTTTACAGAAGTCTAAACATTCTCACAGCACGGTATTTTTAGAACATATATTTTCCAAGTAACAAAAGAAATGTTCTCTATGAAGTAAAAAGTGTACAGTCCTTCCAACACAAATATTTGGGAAGCATACTTTAACTTATTTTGATCTACTTTGCATGCCATTTGGGTGTTTCTATTAAAGTATCTTCCCAGAACACACGGAAAATGTTTTGATTTCCCTCAAAATAGAAAGCTCCTGTCCTAACCTCTTCACTTTCCCTTTCCAGAAAGCTGTGTTAGGAAAATAAACAAACAAAAATGAACAGAAACCATCATCAACCATGAAGACATATTGATATGTCAAAATTTCTATATAAATACAACATGCTATGTTTAAAGCCTTGTAAGAACCCCTGAGCACATGGGTGAATGCTTACTGGAAGTAAAATAAAACAGGGAATTCACACTTAGCATCACTATCACATTTTTAAGAAAATAATTTCCAAAGTGTAAGAAGTTAGGTTCACATAGCAAACTTACTCTTATCTGTGTACAGCCCCCCTGAAACCCATTGACATACCATGGATTTTGACATCAATCCGAGCAGTGATTAAACAACAAACTGCCAAAGTGTTCCTCCATGACTTTAACCCAATATGCATATATTAAACAAGAGGAATACCTTAATGCAGATTAAGGCAGGAGGCTTTGGATAGAGCAAGCTTCCCTAACCCAACTGTATGCAAGAACTTCCCTAGAACACTAATTGGAAAGCCTAACTTTTTTTTTTTTTCCTTTTCTTTTTTTGTTCTGGCCTTTTGAGTGCAAAGTTTTGTCGGCAGCTGCCTCTGCTACTGGGCTTTTTAGTTCTTCCTAAACAGGGGATTACTAAGGGGCTGGAGTCATAGAATTACAGAACAATCCAGGTTAGAAGGGACCTCAAGAGTCACTACTCCATGTTAAAGAAGGATTAACAATAAATACATAAAACCACACATAGACATAGAACGCCGTCAAGATCCCAATACAACAAAATAGCACACAATGAAATCCAATACCTGAATGGGAGGGTTCAGGGCAAGGCTGAAAAATCACGAAATAAAGCCCATGCAGGTATATGCCACAAATATAAATGTATAATTAATAATGCAAAATAAAAATGTACTGTTCCTCAAGATACGATTCAAAATGTTAAGAACTACAAACATGAGTCTCATGACAGCCATTTATCCCAATTATGTGTAACAATGTAAGTTTGTGTTTACTTAAAATCTGAAGTCATAAAATATAAACACTAGCAAACTACGTTAGTGATATCTTTCTATAGAAAGTGGGTTAGAGTTGTTTTGTGTTTTTTTAATTTTCTAAATTTTCTTCATCTGACCTCACATTTATGCTTTTTAACTTGGCTTCCTAAAGCTTTTTACAATTTTAATCTTCTCTAATGACTTTTCAACACACTGAACATATTTAATAACTTGAGACTTCTAAACATGCTTTTGTTGCCTTGAAGTTAGATTATCTAAGATTGGTATGTAGAAGTAAGATAAATGTAAACTAGTTTTCCCACCAAGGGAAAAGAAGCAGAAATTATCCATTCTATTTGGCAGAAAACAGCTGGCCAGTCAACATAGCCTCAGCTCAAACTAACTGAGGTATTGTTATGTTTCACACTGGGGAAGTGAGAATTAGAGAACAGAACTTCACTAATCTATAAGAAATTAGCCCTCATTATTGTTATTCCTTTCAAAACAATCTAAGTTGTCTTTTTTTTTCCCAAGCTTTAAGGCAAACATCTGTAAAGTTCCCTAATGCAGTTTTCTCTCAGCTTCCACAAATATCTCTTCTTACTAGATCTTCCATCTCAAAGCCTTCCCTTAATCCAGCACAAACACATACTTCATGACACTGTCTTCCGTACACAAGTGTCTACTGCCCTCACTGAAGTCAGTGCAGTACACAAAGAATGAAGTGAACTAATGGAAATTATGTTCCAAAAAGAGTCTTTTATTAACCGAATAAGACTTTTCTTGATCAAGAGTTTGTCTTAATTATAGACATTTTTAAAAATACTGTTTCTTTTACAAAAGAAATTAGCTCAGCCTAAAAAGAAAACACACCCTAGATTTACTCAGTATTCAAAAAGGCAAAATAATAGAGAAAACATCTGAATAAAGATCAGAGCCAAATCTACTTTTTATGGAAATCAAATCTGTGTACATTTCTTGATTACTCTTATACAGTGCATGCAATTAATCTTGAAAAACACAAAACCCCCCCAAACCCCCCCCCCAAAACCTGCAAAGTTATAAAACAAAGCCCTTAATAATTTTGCCACAATTAATTTCTACTATCATCCCTTCTAGCTCCAGCTCTTTTGAAATTCTTTCTACCCCCCTTTTTCTTTGTTCTCCCTCATTATTCTGTTGCTATTGCCCATAACTTTGTTTCAGCTTGAAACCAATCCATGCTGGACAAAGGGGAATGGTCTTCCAAAAGGCTCAAGTGTCAGATGATTACAAATGGACTTGGATATTCTCTTGTATATTGAAGTCTTCTCCATTTATTAGTTCTCCACTTCCCATCTAAAAACTTACTAAATGGCTAAGAGGCCACTTTCACCCAAAAAAAAAAAAAACCAAAACACACCAACAAAAACCCAGCAAAAAAACACCAAAAGATAAATAAGAGGGAGGAATAGACTCCTTAAAGAAGCAGTAGTCTCACTTGCTGTAATAAGATTTTGGGACTGCAGGTTTACATTCTCAGTAGCGACAGAACACAAGAAGAATAAGGCACATGAAAGCTACTGCCACGCTCGCAGAACATTGCCAGCAGAGCTGTAGCACAGCTGCAGCTGCGCGCCGCCTCACTGACAGCTACCCCTGCTGCTCCGGGAGCACTGCCGGAGCAGTGACACCACAGGTTTTGGCCAAACCCACCGCTGTCATCAGTCTTTTCCAGAGGTAACATCCAGCAAGACCTGGAAGGATCCTAAAGAGACCACAGCAGAATGCACGTATTCTTCCTAATGGCTGGTTTACTATTATTCAGTCAACTTCTTTTTCAACAAATACCATTTAAGTCACAGAGAAAAAGATGCTAAGTGAGCACGCAAGGAATGCAGCAGTTCATTTCCATTGTACATCCATCTTAAAATTATCTAAATAATTTTACAATAGAGTAGAACAGCTATAGTATACTTAATATAAACTACTTTAGGTAATGAAAAAAAAAGAAAGAGGAAAAAAAAGAGGAGAATATGAAGAATGGCCTGGAATATGCCTTGAAAGCTTAAATGTGTAAAGAAACTCAACAGTACAGTTTTTACACAAAATTCAGCTCACTTATACTGTGGAAGGCAGACTACTTTTTCTTATGTATATCACAGAGGCTGATTTTACATAAGAATGAAGTAAGAATGTAAGGATGTTTCTAGCAGAAATATAGCCATGGAAAACAAGTAGTACAAAATTTCTGATTAATAGTTCTTTAAGTGATATCTGACAATGAGACATCTTTTTTTTTTTTCTTTTAATATTAATTTAGTATATTTTCACAAGACACGATTTAAGAGAGAGGATTACAATCCACAAGAATTACTCTAGAAGTTCCTGAAGTATTTTATTTTTAAGTGGAAAGAAAAACAAAAATTTGGGATCCTCCCCTGAAAAACCAGAACACTTCACAGTGGTAATGGAATTGATAATGAATTCTATTCTGGATAAAGCAGGAGAACCTACTCCCTCACCAGAAGAGAAATGTCTAGGCAAATAATCAAAACCAAACACAGCTCTCTTACTCTAAGCATCCAAAGCCAATAAAACCTCAATGAAAAGAAGCAAAGTTTTACTGTTAAAAATATGCAGTTTGTCTTTCAATTTTGGAATCACAGTACATTCAGGAAAAAATATATACACTATATATTATATAGAGCCAGACATATATAAATATATACATATATACACACACTCAGAAAATTCTTTTGAGAAAGTGTATTTAAAGAGATGGATAGGAAGTGTTCCTGGTTAAATAATTTCTCAGTAAGGTCTATGTACACGTTTCATTCATATTTGAGTATTTTATTACATATCTGCAGACAATATCTGCGTGCTGCTATGAAAGACTGGAGGAAAAAAACAATAGGTCACAGAAACTGTGAGCAACACTGGATAGGTCCACTTTTTCAAAAGTTCAGACTGCAAAATGCATTCCAAAAGCTTCAATACCCAGGAAAACAACCATTATAGTATGTTAACCAAACAATGTAAATGACTACATACCCAACCTGAGCCTGCTTTGCCTGTAGCGCACTTCCATTTCACCTAAGCCTACTGCATTGAGCTATCAATCAAGTCACATTAGGCCACCTCAGTCATGCAGTAAAAGTGTCACTGTTACAGTCACTGACAGTTAACACAGGTGACACAGTAATCTGTCCTGTCACTCTCATTCAGCCTCCTCCCCACTCTCATTCAGCCTCTAGATTGATCTATCAAAGTTTGAGAAAGTAAAGGACTTCCATTGAGTTGATGTTTTCAATACACAATACAAAGTGGATGGGTTTTTCAGCTGAAAATCGTTTTCTAGTGTGGACAACGAGTAAGTGTTTACAGTCTTACAGGGAAAGTGCCTACAGGTGACTAACCTCCACTGACTTCACCACCACTGGGTCAACACCTCCGTGGTTTAAGAGCTTAAATATTACATTCAGAAATGGCTTAGGATTGATATAGCCTAAGAAAACATAGACTTCCTCATGTGTCATGGTTTAAAAGTTGTCACAATACGATGCAATCCCTTAAATAAAGGCGAATCTACCCTGACTTAAGAAGTATTAGAACAATTACAATGTAAAAACATTTTCTTCAAGTGCAGAGTTATTTGCTTTTCATGGCAGCCACATGTTTCCGAATAGTTCCCTAAGGCAGAGGCAGATACCACCAGACTTTTGCTCTGAGGTTCCCTTTCTCCAGAGATTCCTATAGAAAAAGCCTGGCACTAAAGAACATATGTCTTCTTGAAAACCAACATGAATAAAGCTTCAAAGTCTCTTACAAACTTTTGAAAATAACCTTCCGATTTTATTCTTTCTTTAAATGATTTTCATGTCCCAGTGAAGCCAGTAAGTAACAGAAAAGTCAAAAGCAGAAGTAACAACTGCGTAAACTCTGTTCTTGAGCAGAAGAGTTTCTGAACAGGTTAGTGAAAAAGAATAGTCAGAAAGAACCAAAATCCTGGTCCAACTCTCACTTCTTTATAAGACAA